TTGGTCCCCCCCCCCCCGTTGGCATTGTTTTGCATGATTTTCATCGGCTTCCATTTTGACTGTATGATTTTTCTTCCACATCTGATCCCTGTAATACTGTTGGTATGCACAAACATATAAAGATGCTTTTGCAGTGATCCCTTCATTTCATTTATCTTCAGGGCTCTAGTCGGGGGGGAGCTCTCAGGTATGGAGCTCCGGAAGAGAACCTCTAGGGGGTGGGGCGGTCACGTGGTGAAGCCCCGCCCCTTCTTTACCCCGCCCTCTGCTTCGATCCTCATTCCGTTTGGGAATGAGGATGAAGCAGGAGGGTAAGTAGCCGGGCCTTCTGACACACTTCCGGTGATGTCAGGGGGTGTGGCCTTCTGTCACTTCCGGTGATGTCAGGGGGCGTGGCATATGCAAATAAGTTATGCTAATGAGTTATGCTAATGAGCTCCGGCAGCTCTTTTTCTACAACAAGACCCCTGGGTGTACCCATATCTGTTACATTAAGATACTTTTTGTTAACTTCACAGCCTGAAAAGAAGGCCTATTGTTTAGCTGTAGGAGGTATATTTTTGCCTGAGAAAATCCAACCCACAGGTTGGAGCCCAATCAGAATGGTGTGACGGATATGTGACAAAATTTGATGGAACCAATAATTATGATTTATTTCTAACTGTCATAGGGGGTATAAAACTTTATGTCTCCCATTGTAACCTTAGGGAAGAGCTGTGGGTACTCGAGGGTTCAAAATCTTGTTGTGCCTGTATTTTCCCTCCTTTTATAATAAAGTTTTAAAGCTTGGATTCTCTTCTACAAGACTGCCGAGTGCTTTCTCAAATTGGGCTGGGGAAGCACAACCCGTGACGGAGTTTCTGTCTCACAAATCTGTGGAGATTATTCCACCTGGGTAGCTTTGATATTGTTAGTGAATTCTTTTGAACTGGTCTTCTTTCTGTAACATCTCCCCCCTCCCCTTTCCATGCCCTTCTGTTGTGGAAACAAAAGCAAAGCATCAGTTGTATTGATGCAGACTTCAGTGCAGCTGATGAAGTGAGTTCAATTTCTCAAAAGCTTATGCTGGAATAAATGTTGTTAGTCTTTAAGGTGCCCTTAGACCCTGGTGTGTTGGTAACAATCCCAGGTTTGAGATTTCTGGACTAAGGTCAGAACCAGGGTGTAATAATTTTTGTGCTGCTTTGCCCTGCTCTTTCTGTGCCAAAGGTTTTTTTTCAGTATTAACAGACATATTGCTCCTAGTTGCACCCACATATTTAGGCATGTGTAGGTAAGAAAGGAAGCATACATACCATGTATATATTTCAACAAGCTGGCCTTCCTTGGCACTTAGTAGTACTGAGGAGGGTGGTAACTAGAGATGTGAAGGCCCGGAAAAAAACCGGGAAAATTAGGGAAAAACCCATTTTTTTCCTGAAGCCTTTTTTGTTTTTTTCTGAAAAATTGAAAAAAGAAAAGGGGAAAAAATGATTATGAAAAGTTTTATTTTAACATGACATTTTAACATAACACAAGGTGTTCAAATATTTTTCAAATCATTTCTAAAAAAATATGTATGGTATCAGATTGATTTAATTTCTGTGCACAGAGAACAAGCAAGTCCTAGGTTACAAACTGAACTCTCCAATGCAAGAACAAGATCCATTTCTTCCTTTAGGAGGTGCTATTGTCAGAAGAAAATAAAAAGGTTTCAGTTTTGTTTTTGCATGTGGGTGAGTATTCTGTTTGTAATAATTGTTTGGATACACTATATTTTTAATATGCTAGTTGTGATAATTTCATGCCAAGTAAAAATGTCCATAGTCATATTTTATGTTCCTAAAGTAACAGAATGACTTTCAATCTGGGAAAGAAAAAAGAAGTGCTAATGTAGCATTTTTTTTTTCAATTTTTCCAAAAATTTCCATTTTTCCCTGAAAAAAAACAGAAAAAAACTGGTTTTTTCCCCCCGAGCTTCAAAATTTCCGGAAATTTTCCATCTCTAGTGGTAACAGAGAGCAGCCAGATGCCAGGGAGAATTCCAGGAGAAAATACCATCCTTAGGAATGCACAGAAGGGTGGAACTGCCCTTTCCTGAATGACCCAGGCCAATGGCCAGCAAGGGGTAGAAAGCTGGAATCAGAGGTATATAACCTTACCTCAGGATGCTAGCCCAAAATGTAGGTTATGTGTTCAGTGTCAGCATGAATGTGGTTCCAGAGTACAATATCGGAAAATGATTGGGCTCTCTGGGCAAAGCTGGAAGTGCTCTGAATTAGTTCTGTGGTTTCCATGTCATCAATATGCTTTGTAATCAATAAAGTTTGCTTTGTAATCAATAAAATTTGTTAGCCTTTAAGACCTTTGTGGGCAATCTGTCTGTTCTGCTGAAGAAGGAACAAGGTCCCTTTGCCTTGAATCAACCAGCAAGGCTTGATCATCCTTGCAAGGCGAGAGGCTGGGTTAGCTGCCGCCTTACTTACGTATATAAAGGAAGTCCCCACAATCAATCTCTGACATGTGCTTCTTTTTCTCCTGATCCTCGTTTTGTTGTGTGTCTTTTCTTACATACAGCATGACAGAGACAAAACAGTGTGGTTTAGTGATTATAGTGTCAGACTAGGATCTGGTAGACTTGGGTTCAGTGTCAGACTAGGATCTGGTAGACTCCCCCCTCCCTTTTACTCATGGGGGGAGGGGGATAAAAATGGTACTGAAAAACTGTCTGTGTGAACACTTTCTCAAGTTCACAGGCTTTTCCTAAAAATCGTCCCAAAATGGTTAAAGGAACTCTTCATAGCCTGCTAATAGGACAGCAGTTTGAAGACAAGTTGCATTTGGATAAGTCCTATTGCATGCTATAGTCATAACAGCACAAGTGATTAGGAAATATGGGGGAGGACTTTCAGGAAAGGGGCTTAGTTGATCAGAGCCAAAGAAAAACAAAATCCATGAGACAGTGGGGTGTGTGTGGAGCAGATAAATACATTACACATGCAGTACTTTTTATTGAGGACAACCAAAACAACAATGCACTTTGTAAGCTTCTGAGTTCTCCAGAACTCTTAATTAACTCAAAAAACTATACAATGTGTTGTGTTAATTTGGTTGGTCTTAATAAAAGTACTGCATGTGTAATGTATTTCCTTGGCCACCCCTTTGACTCTCTCACATAAGCGACCCAAAGAGTCTAGAATACAATGAGGGAGTTACCCCCTCTAAGAAATTCTTTCATCCCCCCTCCTAAGGTGAGGAAGTTCCTTTTCTGTAGACTGCCTCCAACTCATAGTTTGTATCTTGCTCCTCCCATTTTTTCTCCCCACTGTCCTGGTTCCCCAGGTTTGCATGTGAGCAAGGATGAACCTCCTATCCCATAGCCTGTGCAGTCTCTCTGTGCCTGGCTAGGTCCTGGTATTCCTGTGTTGTAAAGCAATTAGGTGATAGAAGTGGGTGAGAGTTAAAAGCATTCAGAGCACAATAAGGAGAACAGATCTTTAATAACTAAACATAATCCAAAACATGGATGTATGGGAATTAATCAAAACATACCTAGATATACTGCAGATAATTTGAAAGAAAAGAAAAAGGAATGAATAGCTAATCTGGGTTTACAAGCACGTTACCTCAATACTTCTGTCCTGGATATGGGTGCAAAGGAATCATAGCTTGACAGAAACTATTCTCCTAATGTCGGCACAGACTTCAGTCCTTGAACCCAGACTTTTCTCCCAGCTCCCCCATCCCTTGGTTCACATTGCCAAACCAGGCGGACAGTTTTAAGCTTTTGTCTCAAGGCTGGGAGGGTCTCCGTGAACTCAGTCAGAGCTACGGGCTCAGTCACTGCTGATCATATCACAGTTGTGATAAGGACGTTAAGGGTATCAGAAGCGGAAATCAAACACTTTTTCTCTCTGCTCTTGACAGTTTGGCCAAATAGTTATTGGAGTGCTTCCCTCCTCCCCCTGAGTCCATCCTGTTTCCCAGCCCATTTAGCAGGAGTTCTAATTGGCTATGCAGATTTTTAAAAAACCTGGCTTCAGCAGCAGCTACTACCACAGCACAAGGATCTTCACTATGTGACTGAAAGTAAGCTGTATGTATGCAAGAAAATATTTCAAAACATTTCTTTTATGAAGACATCCCGTTAAACAGAGCGTTGGCCTGAAACGTTGGAGAGTTACTACTAGAGCTATGCATAACTTCATCCCTGATGTTTTGTGGTTGACTCTGCCTCCTGCTGCAGCCATTTTGTGGTTGAGTCCACCACCCTGTGTCAGAACTCCAATGGTGTCCACAGGCTTAAAAAGATTGGGAATTACTGATTTATCACAATGTACAGTAACAACATGAGACCACTTATGTTTATATTTAGCTATGCTTTAGTTCGTGCAATGAATTAAATACACTGCTACCTATTGAAACAACAGTGCAACTTTTATTGGTCATTCAAAAGATCAGACTTTTCAAAACTCAATCATATGAGTGAATGGTCCATTTGTGTCGGCTTTCAAAACTTGTCGGTTTCCATATGTCCCATGCCTGAGAACAACACCAGCCTCGGCACATCTGGCATTAGTAGCCAGTTCTTTTTCACACAGAGTTACAAACTGAGAATAAAGCTCCATCCCAATTTCCTTTTCAATGTTGGAATGGTATTGCATTTTTCTTCCTTTCAGTTTACCACCTAGTGTGGCTTGAGGTATTATTAAAATGCTGCCTGGCAAATCCACAATAGAAACATATTTGCCATCTTCAGTTTCACTCAGTTTCACATTCAGGAGTGTATTAACTGCAAAAATATGGAAAGATATTAAAATTAGATTAAAAAACACAGCTAATCTTTTTATATCCTGTCCATGACAGAAGACAAAACATTGACACTGTGAAATTCAAAGCTCTAGATTGATTTGGTAATTGTACCCAAATTTCAATGTCCATTGTATTTCTCACAAGCTAGTCAATTAATAATTTAACTGTACATGAGCGCCCTCTACTGGCTACCTAGTATATGACTCTTTTTCTAAGTGCAATTCTACTGCAGGAAAAGGTCTAATTAGAGCAAGGGTGTTGAACTCATTTGTTATGAGAGCCGGGTCTGACATAAATGAGATCTTGTTGGGCCGGGCCATGTTTGTCATAAAATGTAATGCCAGGAAGCAGAGATATAAACTTTATAAAGGACACAAACACAAAGATTTTTTTCCTTAAAATAAAAACATGCTTAAAACATTAGCTCTATAAGCTGCAAATCTATTTTTGATTTATTGACATTCACCACAGAAATCTCATGCTCAGTTCTGAGCCTAGGACCCAGGTTAAAACATAAAATGCCTGAGTGATTAAGAGAGTCTGGCGAAGCAAGCTATGATGCAGCAGCAGCAGCAGAACTGGAAGCAGGAAATGGTCAGTTCCACTGTGGGCCTGAGGGAAGCCCTCCGGGGACCTCATCCAGCCCCCGGGCCGCATGTTTGACACCCCTGAATTAGAGACTGGAAAGCATCATTCTTTTCATTCATAAAAAAGATGGTTTTCAATGTAATGGAATTCATGGGGATACTGCTAAATCAATGGCACTCACTCCACCGCAAAGAGCCTAATTTGCAGCTACCATCAACCAAAAAGAGGTATATGATTACTGTACACCCTGTGCATGAACCCACCATACACATACAGTAATATAAGAAACATAGGGACCTGCAAGAAACTTGAGTGTAGGCATTTTGCTGGCCTTGCTTCCTTCCCTCTCCCTCCCTTGTCAAATTTCCTTCTCTCTGTCCCACTCCTTATCTATCAATCTTCCCTCAGCCCCTTCTCACCACCCCATCAGTTTTCCTCCCTATCTCCCCCACCCCCTTCTCTAGCAATCTTTTCTTATGCCCCCTTCTCCCCTCACCCCTTGTAGGCTAACCTCCTTTCTTATCCCTACCTCTTTCCACTACCCCTTCTCCCCTCTATTTCTCTTCCCCCTCAAACCATCTCCCCTCCTCCCCTCTATCTCCCCCTTCCTCCGCCTCCCTCAGAGAATCCCCTCCTTCTTTCTCTGTCCCCTCCCTCGGAAAATCCCCCTTCTTTCTCTCTCTCTCCCTCCCTGCCTCAGACAATCCCCTCCTTCTCTCCCCCTGCCTTGGACAATCCCCTCCTCTCTCTCCCCCCAGACAACCTGCCCCCTTCTTTCCCCCTACCTCGGGTACCGTGGCAGCTGTGTCAGGGCCCCCTGGTAGCTGCAGTACTGGCAGCCCCCCCCCCCCGGCCATGGGGGCGGTGGGGGGTTTGGTTTGATCACCAGGAGCAGTGGCAGCCAGTGTTCCCTCTAAGCTGAGTTGGTGTGAGCTAGCTCACAGTTTTTTAGGCTCTGGCTCACACATATTTGTCTCAGCTCAGGAAGGATGGCTCCAGAGCAAACTGATTTATGCAGCAGCCAAGTCGCTCACTCACAACTTTAATGCCAGTAGCTCACAAAGTACAATTTTTGCACACAAGACTCCACAGCTTAGAGGGAGCATTGGCAGCTGCATCAGGAGGTGCCACATTAACTGCAGGTCCTCTGCAAGCCACAACAGCTCTGGCCTACTCATCAGGAGCTGTGGTGGATGCATCAGGGGACACTGTGCCAACTGCAGGGCCCCTGGAAGCTGCCGAGACTCGAGCAAGAGATGCCACACAAGGCTCAGGGCCTGTGGGAGCTGCCACACCTGTGGTAGAGCCCCAGGAGACACCATGCATGCATCTCTCAGACTCAGCCACTTAGGCTGGGCCCATAGTGGTTCTTGGACTCCACTGCCACTATGGACATGCTCAGAACAGCTCTCAGACTCTGCAGCAATGGCCAAATCTGGGGTGGCTTCAGGACTACAGCGCCGCCAAACCTGCAGAATAATGGAAGTAAGTTCCCACTAGGAGTGCGCGTTTGGCTAAATACGAGCTGAAAAAAATTCAGGATATTCTTTCAGCCAGATAGAGATTTGACCATTTCCCAACTATCTGAAACATCCAAGCCCCGAAAATCCAAAAAAAATCCAGGATTTTCGGGACCGTCAGATAAAGTTAAAGGGCATTTGAAGGGATTGCCTTTAACCTGAAGATGTTTAAAAGGACTGTGAGCCCTTTAAACACCTTTCCCCCCTCCACTGAAAACAATGGATAATGACACCTTCTTTGGGGCCCCACAGAATTGGACTCCCTAGTCCAATGTTTTTGAAACCGGGGGGGGGGGGGGGGGGGAGGGGACCGACAGCCTGCAAATTTGGTGCCTCTACCCCAATAAACGGCCCTCCCAAAGCCCCAGATACCCCTGGATCAATTCTCCATTATACCCTATGAGGGACCATAGGTATAATAGTTATAATGGAGCCAATTTTTTTTTGAGAATCCTGAATATTTACCAAATCTATACCATACCAGTATTGGGATTTGAGAATATTGGGAAATACCAATATTTTTCAAGTTCAATATACCCGAGAAATACTTGGGGGTGGTGGTGGTTTGCACATGCCTAGTTCCCACCCTCAGCATTGCTGTCTTACTGCCTTACAGGCTGCTAAAGTGAGGTGGAGTTCCCAATGGCAGCTGCTATTGTGCAGACAGGTTTGGTCTGGGGGGCAATTAAGGACCCTTTGTCAATGTTGAGAATTTTTTTAGATTTTCTGCAAACTTGGTGCATGCCCCAAGTTTGCGAGGAAAATCTTCCTTCTCTCCCCCTGGCCCTGATCTGCAGAATTAAATATCCGCAGATGGAGCCAGATTGAGAATTAGAGATATAGGCTGTGGTCACACGGACAAGGTAATTCCGCTTTGTTCCCGCTTTAATTTAATCGGGAATATTTTTCTTCGGTTGGGCTGATCCACCACCCACTCACCTGAAAATCCTTCCCCTCTCTCCACCGCCTGCCCGCTCGCCTGCCAGCCCACCCGGGCGGCCCAGGAGACAGCTTGAGGACTCAGCGGCACTTCCTGAATCTCTCCCAGCAGGGGGAAAGCACGGCAAAGGTCAATGGCCCCGAGATCCCAGCAGGGTCCGCTCCACAGAAGCCCTCCCCCTGCTGCAGCCGCTGCCAAACCCAAGGGCGCACAAAACCACTGCCGCTGCCTCGCGCCGCCGCCTCCTCCTCTTCCACCTTCCCTTTCTTCCAAAGCCTGCAGCAGCAGCCGCTGCCGTTGTCGCCCGGAGCGCCTTGCAGAGGACTTTGCTCGTCCGCCCAACCCATGGGCCTGAATGTTTAAATGGTGAATTGCCCATGCGGTCAAAGGCAGAAGCCTGGGGGGGAAAATCTCATTGTGGGGAAAAACGGTCAGATGGCCCTAATCGCAACCATTGTGATAGATGGCTGTCCAGATAGGCGAAATCGCACGTTCAAAGCGCGAGTACAAGGAAAACACTTGATTTTCCAAGGGGCAGGAAAAACCACGAACATTGCGCAAGTGAGCCAGCTTCGCCATGGGAGGCGGATCGGCCTATCTAGTCAACAAATTTAAATGTGGGAGGGAACAGCGGCGAAACCCGATCAAATGGACCGTGTGACCGCACCCATAGATAGTTTTTTCAGTTACCAGATTACCTTTGAGCGTGTAGGGTTGTCCCTTCCACCCACTATTGAACCTTGGCTAGCCCTTCTGTATCTCAAGAGGGCGGAAAACCTGGCAAGTCAGTCTAATCATACAAAACAGCGCTCAGACTTTCAAGTTCTCTAGTATTCTTTGTTAGGGAGAATGTAAAAAAAGAAAAGAGAAAAACCTTTCCTAGATTAAGAACTTCCAGTGTGCTGAGATGAGAGTGCAGAGCCTGACACAAAGCCTCTGCAGTTCAGGGATGCTCACAGCTTACTTGTCCTTCAGTGATGGTGGCAGTTTCAAGATTGGCCTTCCCCAATTCCCTGAAATATATGGTGGCTGCCACACTGGGAAATGGTGCTCAGAAGAGCCACAGGTGGCAGATCAAAGAGCCACATGTGTAAACATCACTGTTAGATCTCAAAAGCTAAGCAGGGTTGGCCCTCGTTAGTATTTGGATGGAAAACCACCAAGGAAGTCCAGGGTTGCAACGGAAAGGCAAGCAATGGCAAGCGGCCTCTGAGTGTCTCTTGCCTTGAAAACCCCAGAAAAAGTTAGCTATAACTTGATTGCAAAAAAAAAAAGTCTTCACCCAGAAATAACTTCCAAGCAATGAGAACAGAGTTTATATAGGTACATCTACATGTCCAAGGGAGAGTCTGTAGTTTGGATAGATTTCCCTACTCAAGTGGCTGCCATGTGCTGTTCAGCCTATAGTGTTTCTGAGGGTCCCCTAAATCTCATGTGGATCTTTTGAGGGGACTGGAGAAGGTAGGAAGGATTTGACCTCATCAGATCTCGGAAGCTAAGTGGGGTTAGCCCTTGTCAGTATTTAGATGGGAGACCACCAAGGAATATCAGGGTCACTATGCAGAGGCAGGCAATGGCAAACCACCTCTGAACATCTCTTGCCTTGAAAACCCTACAGGGTTGCCATTTGATGGCAACAAATATATATGCCAATTTTAATATTTTTTTGCTCTCTCATTTTGAGGATTAAAATGACTGCAGCAAATTACTGTGGCTTCTTGTTATGGAGCTAGCCTTGGAAGTCCTGGGGCTGTATTTCCAGTAACTCAGGTTAGTTCATCTGCATAGTTTGTCATATGACATCTTGCCTACACACCATGATTCCAAACCACTGTTTAATGGTTCCACGTATTTCAATTTGCCTCAAGTCTATAGCTAAATGTGGTGCAATAGTAAGAACACAGTATGCCACAATAAGCTTATTAAGAGCCACCTTAACAAGAACCAGTAATTAATAAGCATATTGGACTTACATGTACGAGGACTCAGAACAAAATACTTAGACTAATTTCCTTCAATCAGCAGTTTTCAGTTTCAAAGCTTTCAAATACAAAATCTGACTGAATGGGTTCTTATTATTGCCTTGTGATACGTCTTTATGTTAGGTTCAATGAAGCAACTGCATCACACTTATAATTACTTAAAATAGGGTTTAGCATCATTATTTTTAGTTGCCTGTTTCAAGAATTTTTAACCTAACACCTACCCATTTTGGGAATGATTTCTTCATTGGCCCCTTTGAAGAAACATACATAGATTATAAGTCCTCTCTGGATCTATGCAAAGTAATGAAGAAATATATTATACATCTACATGCCTGCTCAGCAAGTGTTACTTTGGCTGTATTCAGAAATCACAAACAAACTGAAGTTTATTTGCAGTGAGAACAAGTGCAATTTCTTTTCAGAAAGATGCTCTCCCTCTCATCCAAGTCAAAAGATTTTAGACTTTAAGTCTTTTATCTAATCAGTATTTACTTAGTACATACAGCTGATTTAGTACAGCTCTCCCACTTCATTTACCTCCCAGTAAGTAGGCAAGGCTCAGAGAGATTAGAATCTGGGTCTCTAGAGGCCTAATCCAACACTCCAATCACCTCACCATAGTGATTCTGTTGTCACATCCAAATGTGGGCAGTTCAACAAGTGGTTCAAAATCCTGGTTTGTGACCAATGAACAAACCATAGTTTGTTGATGTGCTCAAATCTTGGCACCAGGCATGTGGGGAAGGGACAAATGCATACATGACCCCGATAATAAACCAGATGTGTTCTTTTCATAAACAAACTCTGGTTTGTATGTAACATCTGAATACAGGCTGTTTTAATAGCCAGCCATTACAACTGAAGCTGTAAAAAGAGAAAAGTAACTAATAAATGTATGAACGAAATGCACATTGTTCTTACAACAGAAGCAATTTTTTTTTTGAATTGGTGGCATGCTGAAGAAAAAGTTGTTGAAACATAATTACATGTAATTAAAAGGTGATATGCTAGACGTGACGGTGTGGGAAATCTCTTGGAGCTCTTTGGAATAAAATGAACAATTTCCTGGCAAACCTATTGTTGGGTAACACTCTTTGACTGAATCCCAAATGTCATACATCTAAAAACATCTTACTAAGAAATTAGTCTTATTTTCATACTGTAGATTTTTTTTAAAAAAGATTCAAACTTATTATATAGTTTGGCATATACAAAAACACACTCAAAATATACCCAACATTTTATTCAAATTATAAAGAACAAGAGGCGGGACCCGCGATACTCATGGAGGGGGAAGTATTCCCCACAGCTCTCAGCCTGCAGAAGCAGCAGCAGGTGAGCCCATCCTTAAAAACAATGTAATCCCCAAAAACACTTTCTGGGAGTATGCCCCATTGAATAAATCTGTTTAGGATTGCTCTCTAAAGAAGTTAACCAAGGAAAATAAAACAATTCCTGCTCTTTTAAAGTAGGTCTTTGGAATTATCAATATCAATTACAGGTTTTACTAATCGTAGTTACAGTACAAACAGAGTGATAGTTACTGGCCTAAGTTGTTGGCTATGAGTTAGTTATTGTCTTTTTATTATTACAGTACTTTTAATGATGTTATTGTTTTATCTCATATTTCTGAATTGCTCTTATTTGTCACTTGTCTGTGATTCCAGCTGCCTGGGAGAAAGGTGGGCCCGTAAATATTTTAAATACATTTTGAATAGTGGTGAATAATGAATTAAAGCTATTCCACAATGTCCTGTAAAGCCCTTTTCAGTTGTTATGTTTACATGTCTTATGAATCTCGTGTTGTAAGCCACTTGTGGGATAGGGTGGGGTAGAAATTAAATATAATGATGATGATGATGATGTGGTAATGCGTGTTCTACAGCTGAAATATATGCCTGTTGTCCCCTTCAAACAACAAATCTGTTTTAATTAGGAGGATCACATGTAGTTCATTCTCGCCGTACACATAGTCCAACATAATACCTGCAAAGGGCTATAAATAATCTGTGATGGGACAGTAGGTCTTCCTATACAAACACTGCTTTAATTTAAGACCTTTAGAGAAAAGTCCTCCCCCATCTCTCTTTTCTTTGGGACCATGATGGGGTCCCAAAAGGCTTTACCCAATAAATTTGTAACAGATAACAACAAACTGGCTGGTTATAACATGTGATCTTTCTTCAGCATTCTCAGCTCTGTAAACACTTGGGCCTCCTTTAACTCTCTTAACTCCTTATTTCTGTCCCATTTTCTGAGTCAGCATGCCTTGCCTTTTTCTCAGGGACACAATAATGTATAGATCATAATAATATTTATGTAATCCCCACATCCCTGCAATTAGAGGTTCTAAGGCTGCGGCAGTAGCCTAATTACAAGCCCTCTCACTTTAGAAATTAAGCACTGTTCTCTATTGAGGGATGTCACCCAAGCAACAAAAACTGAATATATTAATAAAGTTGCTTTAGGTGATTGGTCCATCTAACCCAAGCTGTCTCAGTCAAAATGGGCATTTTGCATTCAAAGCAATGTTCTACCACTGAACTAGGGGTTATTTGCAATACTTAAAACTGATCTGGCACTTTAGAGTGCTCAAAGCACTTCATTTACATTATCTCAGTAATACTCTTTACAACCATCCTGGAAGGTACATCAGTAGGAGGGAAGACTGAACTGAGAGGAAGGTTGGTATTTTACGGTTATAGTGAAGATGACGGAGAGTGGCTTGCCCAAGGCCAATGGACTGATGAGTAGCAGAGGTGAAGCTGGGAACAGGGACTTCCGGGTTCAGAATTCGCTCTGCACCCTCATATATGAGGCTTAAATCGCCCTTCCACCTCTTCAATCTGTAATGCAAATCTGTACTGCAATATTATTGCGTTTCACATTCGTATCACAAACCCGACGGAAGCAAGAGCAGTGAAAAGAGTGAAAACGTTTCACAGCCGCCACGCTCCGTGACCTCTGATCATTCCAATAGTATATCCGAAACACGTCCGACTCCGGCACTCTAGCAAAAATCCTGCTAAGCGTTATCATCATCTCCAGCAGAAGCTCTTAATGATTTCAGAAAGCAGGATGATGTACAATAGATTTAAAATTCTTTTAACCGGGTTGGAAGTTGATTTCGGATAAGAAATCCGAAGTCTTAAAGTAGGCGACTGCAGAGAAGGCAGGCACAAGAAAAGACGAGCTACTCCATCGCCCCCGGGCATCTGCTAAGGAAAGTAAGAGCGAT